TATTTCTAGGCTCCGCCCGCGGTGCCTGCTTTCTATCAGATGAAACCTGTTTCTGAGATTGGAGGGAGAATTTACGAATCCGTGTGGATGGGATAGAACACAGGCCTCAGCCCTGAGACTGCTGGTGAACGGGCGGGTGAGGGTTCACGCCTCCCGGTGCCCGGCCGCTGAGCGCAGCCTCTGGCCCCGATCGGATGGGAAGGCGGCTCTAGGCCCCACGGCCTCGCCTGGAGGTGCCTCAGGGTTCTGGGTCACGCCTTCTTCTGCTCTTGGGGTGACGTGGAGGCCAGGGTTGAGCTGGGGGGGAAGGCCACTCAGCCATCTTTGATTGCTTAGCTGTTTGTTGTTGTTGTTTTTAAATTGATTAAAGAGAGAGAAGAAGGGAGAGGGAGAGAGAGAAACATCACTGATGAGAGAGAATCGTGGACCGGCCGCCTCCTGCAGGCCCCCGACTGGGGATGGAGCCTGCGACCTGGGGATGGAGCCTGGACCGGGCTGTGCCCTGAGCGGGAATCGAACCGTTAACCCTTCGCTGCACAGGCGGCACCCACCATGGAGCCCCCGCGTCCTCCTGGGTCTCACCGTGTCCCTTACGCCTGTCCTCGCTCCTCCACGGACTGTCCCCTTCGTCCCTCACCTTCCAGAGCTGGTGTCCCGTCTCAGGGAGGCGGCCGTCTGTGCTGTCCCATGTCCCTCTGCCCCAGGCCACTGACCGGGGCCCCTGGATCCCCGGGCCCACGTGTGCTGGCAGGAGACGAGGACGGAGGGCTGAGGCTCGGGCCGGCCACGCGTCTCCCCGCGGGGGGGAGCCCACACCCACGGTGGCATCTGGTCCCATGTTGTCTCCTCGCTTGCGCTCACCTAACCAGCACTGCTCCTGAGGGGAAGCGGGTCCAGAGAGCTGGGCCGGTCAGAGCGAGCGGGGTCGTGTCCTGAGTTAAACCAGCGTCCACCCCAGGCTGGCCCTTCCTGCTCCGTGGCCCCAGTTTAACCGTCCCGGAGGCTGCACACACCATCCCCCCCCATCGGTCCCTCCATCCTGCTGTCCCCACCATGTGCTCCCACAGGGGTGCCTGGGCTCGGGGTGGGGGCCTGGGGTTCAGGGCTGAAGGAGCCTCCGCGCCTGCGTTGGGGGTGCGCTCGGGGCTGCTTTTCTAACCGCCCTGACCATGTTTTGCTTCCGTTTTCTGTTGCTTCTGCCCTTTGCTTGCAAACCGCACAGGCAAGCCCGGTGAGTAACTGCTTCCCCGATGTGACGCCCCCCCGGCACCCGCGTGTCCGCTTTCCCGCGTTCGTTCCTTTTGCTTCTGCGTGTTGGCTGTCCCCCCCACCCCCCAGGTTCATCGCGTTTTGCCTGAAAAAAGCCAGACAGTCTCCCGGGACGCGGTTGGGGGCGGAGTCCCGGGTTGGGGGCTGGTTTCCTGATCTGAGGAGTGGGCGCTGCACTTGCGATTGTAGGACAAAAGCGGGGGGCGTTCCGCCGCCTGGGTCTCCCTGAGCCGGAGGTTCTGCTTTTACGAGGGGCGGGTAGGGGGAGGGAACCTGGAAATCTGGGCCCCTGTGTGATAAGCTCCCCACACACGGCCCGTGCAGCGTCCACACGCCCGTCACCGGCCGGCATGGGTGCTGGACGGGGCGTGGGGACCCCGGCTTTGAGGCTGCTGAACTCAAAGAATGAGGAGCACGCGATGCTGGCGACTCGGGGAACGCCTTTCCCTGCGTCTCCGCGTCGCGAGCAGGTCGCTGGCGGCTCTGTTCTGGCTAAATGTTCGCTCCCCTTCGTGGGTCCCGGCCCCCGACATGGCGCCAGCTCCGGGGCGGTGATGCCGTCGGGCCCT